GTTTTTTAGCTACTTGAAAAATATTTAAGAGGAAACGAGCTCAACTTCAGCTTAGTTAAACTGGAACTTCAAGCAGCTGCATTTCGCTAAGTGTATTGGAGAATAAAACAAAATACTCTGCGCATATGATTTAATATATATATATATGTATATATAAGGTAGGGAAGAGTCTTATCGAAGACAGACAACTGGCGCACGTCCGCCACGTGTTTGCCAAGCCCAACAAACGATTCGGAAACCCAATTCTTCCCTATGCATACGAGGGAAAACAGAGTGGAAGAGGTAAAATTTACACCTGGTTGTGGCCAGTAAAACAAACAAAACAAGAGACTGAAAAACCCTTTTAAAATGCGAAATGCAGCCACAGATGCGACTGATCTACACGTATTTGTTGGGGGTAGGTTTTGCAAATTTTGCATTGGTCTCCTTTGTGGTTCCTGTTTCGCCAGCGTGTCCTTTTTACTTCATATTATTTTTGGTATATTTGTATTTAGCCCAGGCTCAGCGACAGCAGCTGTATTTCCTCGCATTTAGGACGCGGTACGCGCGCCTGCTGCCAGCCAGGATGCTGAATATGCATTTCCACTTTAATATCAAAAATTTAAATGCTTTTCTGTCCGGTCGTCTGTCCGTTTGGGCCGCCGCCTCTGTTGATCCTTTGCCGATCTGGCAAATTGCATCTGCTGTCAACGTATGTAAAAGCATCCACCAGTCATCGGTCTGGCCATCAAAGCAATTATTATCCTTCATCAAGAGTGCTCGCATCTCGGACAACAGTTGTCCACATACTTAATATAAAAAGTAAAAAGTACAAAAAAAATTAAATGAAAGAAAACCACAAGATCACGCGTCCTGCGGTCAGCGTTTGTTAACGCACATGTTCCTAAAGTGAAGTCTTCTATCTTTAAATGAGGTCCGAGCTAAGCTTGAGTGCCTGCTGCAGCTAGACAGAGCTTAAAAGCTTGCAATGGCTGTTCTCTTAATACTTTAAAGCTTGTTGAATCGACTTAAATCTGGATCCAACGAATCGAACCGCTCGATTAGAGCTTTTTAAAATGGTTCGATTCACACCTCGTGCTTTCTCAGACGAAGTTGTGTTTCTTAAGAGCTTAAAAGCTGTAAGCTTTTATTTGGTCTATCCCACACCCTAGTTCAGCGTCTGGTTCAACACTAGCTTTAAAGCTTTAAAAGATCAAAAACGCTTTTTGGGTAACGGGATTAAATCATGCATGAATTAAGTTAGAGCTTCGGCTCGGCTCAAAAGCTTTAAGACATTTTCTTTTAAAATATATTTTATTTGTTTTGCGAAGAATCGGCCAACAATTTGAACAAAAACGCGACAGATATGGTTTATATATAGAGGCCGCGACTTAGAGACAATAATTCCTAATGATAAACTTTTACCTTATATAGATGAAAAAGTGGTGCTCTGAGAATAGCTTCAAGTTTTGGGCCTGATCAAGGCAGTAAAGAGATTCAAAGTAAATGAAATCCTTTAACAATCATAGAGAAACCACGAAAATATATTCTAAAATAGCTTCTACAAAATTAGTTGACTAGACCTATTTAAAATAAATAACTTTATTTAATCCCTTCAACAGTATTTTTTTTTTCAAATTTATAGTTATTTCCATTATTTTAGAAATCAAAGTAAATGATATCTTTAAAATGAACTGTGTAATGATATCTTTAAAATGAACTGTGTTAAATATACAATATAATATATTACATCAATAACTCGATATAATTTCTTATCACAATTTCGCTATTATTTTTCAATTTCAGCATAATCAGGTAAATGTAAATGCCCCAACCTTGACAGACAAGTTTAAGCTCGAACGTGAAATAGATAAAAAAAAAGTTAACCAAGTTATTGATTAAATTGTCGCCCATCTAAATTGGAACCTATGACAATATAGGGACAGAAAAGTAGAGTTTTTTTAATTGAATATATTACGAAAAAGGGTTCAAGTGGTTTATAGATAAGTTAGCGAAAGCAACAGATATGAAATGGGGTATTCTTTTTACATAAACCTAAATGCTTAAATGAGAATAGGAAATATATGAATGTTATCACAAGCTAAACGAGTTTTGTTAATGATTTCCAATAAACACTTTTCGCATATGGGAAAAGGGCAAGAGAGAAGCGTGCGGAGAAGTCAAAATTAGATTCAAGCAATTTAAATATTTGATATTCTTATCGCAAACACCTGGATAACGTTTCGGCAGAGCAGCTGAAACCGGCTATAGAAAAACTCATTCGATTATCTTTGGACTCGGATCAATAAAATGAACAGAGCTCTGAGACGAAAAGTGTAACAAATATCCAAAGGAAAATGTTGCCCAAAGCATGTTTAATTAGAAAACGACATATGCAAAGGATCCCGAGGATCACATATGAGGGAGAGGGAGAGGGAGACGGAGACGGAGAGAGAGAGAGAGAGTCCAATAACAGTTGTGTGTATTGTACATAAATATAGAAAACTAATCCTGGCTGAAGACAAGGAAATGAAAAAGAAAGAAAATTACGCAAGCACTTGAGATCGACAGCAGCAGGCATTACTCCATGCACAGTAAAAAATTAATGGTTACTTTTCAAATCATTTGGTTGGACTTTAAAGGATTTAAGTGAACGTGAGTTAAAGTACAACAAATTAAATATGAAAATTAAATGACAATTGCTGGTTAACTTTGAAATATGATATGATATGGTATATATATGTATATAGAATGCCTTTTTGCTGATCTATTCATGCTCTAAGCACGAGGGGAACTAAACTTTAGAGCTACAAATTTAAAGATGTTCAGGGAAATCGAAAGTTAAGCTAACAGACAATATCTTTCTTTTGTTATTCGTTAACTCAAAAAATTAATAAATATTGAAAGTTGAGAAATACGCAGGAACACTTTGGGTTCTAGCATTTAAATCAAAATATAAGTTATTTCTTCTCTACTTTTGATAATAAATGAAGATCGTAAAGTAGAAATTCTAACCAAAATTTATTTGTATGTACATAAGTCCAAAATGTTTACCGTGTACACATGTGTATAGTTTATGTATAGGAAACAGTCTATATATAGAGACGAACCTCTTGGGTGCCGCATACCTGCGGCTGGGACTGCGGCAGTTGTGCCGCACGGCGAGACGGGACGTGGGCGAGGGTGAAACTGATCGAAATCTAGCGTTTTTTTTTTTTTTTGGGCTTGCACGCCGTCACTTCCTTTTGCAGTCGCATCCGCATACGCTAATCAAATATCAGGGACGCGGGCTGCGCGTTGCCCCGAAAAATACCCGCCAAAAATCAACATATGTGGAGAGCGGGAATAAACGGGAAATGTATCTTGTGGATGCAGCCTTGTGGCCCGTTAGAAGCTGTTTGCGGAAAGTTTAAATATTGGGAAAACTCGCGCATTTAGCGAGTCACATAGGCTGATATGTAGCTGGTCCTTGCTGGGTCCTTGCTTGCTTCTCACCCATTGTCTTGGCCTTTGTTTCGGTCATGGTCAAAATGTTGTGCGTTTTTCCTACCTGGCCCGTGTGCTGGCAAATGTGTGCGCTGCATTTTCACTTATTGGGTTTTCCATTATCCTTCGTTGTCCTTTCCTTACAGACAAGCTTCTTTGTAAGAAATCATTGCCATAAACTCTATAATTTATTGTCTGCCAGCTGCATAGAAATCATCATAGAAATCAGGGATATAAACACTGATTTGCTGTGTGGTAGAACGGGGCACTGTAATCAGGTAACAGGACAGGTAACTGGACGGGCACCTGTAACCCGCAGTACTTGCATTACGTCAAAGTTCGCGCCCATCTATTGATTGAAATCCCGATGCCTAAACTGTTTTTATAGCCGCGTGAGAGTTTCTCTCACTCCTTGGCGTCGAGTACTTCAGAATTTTTGACTTTCTGCAGCTCTAAGCTGCTTAAGGATTTGATGTCCTTATTGCATAGAGACAGGTTACCCTTGGCCAAGGGATAAAAAGGGTGCTCGTACGCATTGTACAGGTGTTTTGTGAGCGCTTTGTTAGGTAAAATGGTGTCTATGTCGATAAAGAACATACATAAGTACCCAATTTAATTCAGATCATTTCTAAGCGTTATAATTATTATAAGTCCTTTTTAAAGGATATTCCATGGTTTGCTCATGCTTTTGTAGTTTCTTTGAAAGGTAAGGTAAGCAAATTTGAAATCGTCATTAATATAGGTTAAGGTATTAACCAAGCCCTTTTCAGGGAGTATTTGATGAAGCCATGGTCCTTTGTCCTTTTCCAAGTGCCTTTAAGGAAGTATTACATAGATACTTATACATTATGTCTGCTTATTTATAATACCTCTTTATACTACTTCTACTCTTGTGATACTACTTCAAGAAAATCAAAAGTTGGTAAATAATGATCCAGTGCAGACATACAATTAGGAATGAAACGAAACAAAAATATCCGAACGTGGAAACGTATCGATTTAAAGATTTCGTTTAAGATAATATATCATTGGAGAAAAACATATAAAGAATTCCTTGCCGGATTCGATTTCTTTTTGTGCATTATCAAGTAATTGCATTTACTTAAATTAGTACGCAACCTTTCAGCAGAATATTATTGATCTTTAGGATCATATAGAGCTCAAGAGTCTGCAGTTTGTTTTTAGCGCTGCCACCTTATTCAATTATCTTTCAGTTGTAACGCCTTTCGATTGAGTAGTTTTGAAAACTATCGCGAGCCCTCGCAGTGTCATCGCTAAGGCAAACAGCTGTTTCTGCACGCGTGTATGGGGCGAGGGAAGGTCACAAACCCCATTGGAATGCGGCAGGCAACTTTTAACTATTGCCAATTGTGCCATAGAGAATCTAGCGAATACATTATAGAAATTTTATCATTCTTCTAAAACATACAAACTTAGCAGCCTACATGCAAAAACAGGCATAACACATAACTCACTTTGTGTGTCCAATATTAATAATGCACTATGCAAACACATTACAAATTTATTTGGCTTACCGATTTTACCTGCCGACTGACCCATGCTTACTGCATTTAATGCAGCTTACTCATTAGTAGCTAATGATTAGATTATTTTGGTATAAATTTCCTTGAAGCTTTCACTAACATTCCAAATTTTGCACGCACTTAGATTGCCGTATGCATATTAAGAAAGTAACCGTATACTGAGGCGTTCTGTTCCATATTTTATGCATGAAATGTAAAACAATTAGTTAATTCGTTTTTCATTTTTAGTGGCCACATTTTCTTTTATTTTGGTTGGCTGCCGGCAGGCCAATTCGATATAACTCATATGGCCAGTTCACAATAGACGAATTGCTTATCGATTAGAGCAACATCATGCTTACCGCTTGCAGTCTGGCAACGCTGAAGCGTTTGGGCATCGAGTAGTTGTGTCGTCTGACAGCTTGATGGTTGAAGAAGAAGCAGCAGCAAACCATAATACGCGATGTGAGAAATGAAAAATATGCTAAAATAAAAGCAAATTGCAATTGTGTTACCATAGTATTTAAGTGTTTGCCAGTTGCCTAATAAATTGTTACAATAACAGAGAGCGGCAACACGACAAGGACGACAATTCGTGGAGCGTAAACCGAAGGCAACGCAAAAATGGCGGATCCACTGAGTCTTTTGCGGCAATACAACATAAACAAAAAGGAAATAATCGAGCGTGATAATCAAATTATATTTGGTGAATTCTCCTGGCCTAAAAGTGTCAAGACCAACTATCTCAAATATGGGTAAGTAGCTGGCCAAGCCACGTCTTAAAAATGCCTCTTCTGTTTTTTTTTTCACAACGTAATTTATTTTTGCAGCTCTGGTAAAAAGGGCGCTCCACGTGAATATTATACGCTGGAGTGCCTGCTGTACTTGCTCAAGAATGTTATGCTCCAGCATTCGGTGTATGTGCGTCAGTGCGCGGCGGAGGACATACCCGCCGTAAATCGACCCGATCGTAAGGAGCTGCTCGCCTACCTCAATGGGGAGACGCCCACATGTGCCAGTATCGACAAGAGCGCGCCGCTGGAGATACCCACACAAGTGAAGCGTACAGCGGATGGGGATGCGGCCACAAGCGGCGAGACGGCCGCCAAGAAGTCGCGCTTCGAGGAGACGCAAGTGCAAAAGGTGCGCGAACAGCTGGCGGCGCGTTGGGATGTCAATCAAAAGGAAACTGCCGTCAATATGGACAACATTAAGTCCCTGTCGGAGACGATGTCAGTGGAAAAGATAGCAGCCATCAAGGCGAAACGTTTGGCCAACAAACGTACTACAATTAAGCGCACGGATAATGAGGAGGCCATGGGCACAGATCTGCGCGCCATACTCGACTACGATGTGGACTCCACAAAGGATATCATAAGCCGCGAACGACAATGGCGCACACGCACCTCAGTGCTTCAGAGCACGGGCAAACTTTTTGCCAAGAACATTTTCGCCATGCTGCAGGGCATTAAGGCGCGCGAGGAGGGACGTAATCGTCCCCAGGTGCCAAATCCCATTAAGATGCCCGAGCCGGCGCGCATTACGAAGCCACAGCCACAGCTCTCTCAATACAATCGTTACGATCAGGAGCGTTTTAATCGCCAAAAGGAGGAGACCGAAGGCTTCAAAATTGACACGTTGGGTACATATCACGGCATGTCGCTTAAATCCGTGACGGAGGGCTCTCTGGCGCAGCGCAAGGCGCAGGCAAACATGCCACATGGCGCAGCGGCTGCAACGCCCACAGCTGTCTCCCGTGCAGCGCCCAAGGAGCTGCTGCCCACGGCACAGGCGCGACAGCTGCCCGCTAATGGGCCTCAGAAGAGGCCATCACGCACGCCTATAATCATAATACCGTCTGCCAACACGAGCCTTATAACTATGCTGAATGTTAAGGATATACTGCAAGATTTACGCTTCATGTCCACGTCGGACAAAAAGCTACAGGGCTGTCAGCGCGAAAGCGAGGTGCTGCTGCAGGTGAGCTGCCACTTATCACACTTCTGAGTTAATTTTAATCCCAAATTTCTTTATCGTCTAGCGCAAACGCAATAATCAGACCGTCTCGTATCGCGTTGTTGACAATCCCATCAAGCTCAGCCAACAGGATTGGCAGCGCGTTGTCGCTGTATTCGTCATGGGACCACAATGGCAATTCAAAGGCTGGCCCTGGGATGGGAATCCCGTTGAAATTTTCTCAAAGAGTATGTTCACAAAAGTGCTATAGGTGTAACTACCTTGTCGAGCGTATTGTAATCTGGTTGAAGGAGACAGCTCCACACACATACAATATATATATTGTATGTCAACATCAGTCAAATCAACATTGACATGAAACGTGGCATTAGGCCCGTTTTCAGTACAAGACAGAAAATAGTTTCGAAGCGGGATAAATCGGATCATTATATTAGATAGTTTCCATAGAAACAATCAATATATTTGTATGAAGCGCACAAATCAATAGCTATTATTTTCCTAACATCGATTTACTATATATAGCTTTATAGCTGTTGTTTTCTATATACTTATTTTGTTGCTCTTCTCTTTCAGTTTGCGCCTTTCATTTATGCTTCAGCGAGCTGAAATTGGATGCGAATGTGGAGCGTTGGTCTGTGACGCTGTTGCGTCTATCCCAAAACAAAAGGCATTTGGATCGCGCCGTGCTCAGCAAATTTTGGGAGACACTGGACAAGTATACAACCTTCAATATTCAAGAAATTATTGTTAGTTATTTAATGGTCTCCTCTCTTGCAGATACATGCTTAAGTACAAGCCAGATTTACGATTTTAGATACTGGGAAGTTAACGTTGAGCGCGCAATCGTTAGCATTACACTTAACAACGAAACAAAGAAAAGAAGAAAAATAGGAAAAACAAGCCAATGGCTATGGCCCAGAAAGTTAACTGTTTTAGCCCGCTGATAGATGGTCCAGCACTACACTTTTTCTACCCACTTTGTTGTAGGCAACGGGCGGTTCTAGTTATGCTAAAAGTTTGTTCAACTTGTACAATGTAATCTATGAAACTGAGCTAAGAAACAATATATAATTTGTATAATTAGTTTTAATAAAAAATATATAAGACGAATAATTAATTTTTTTTAAGAAATATTAATAGTAATTATGTACAGTGAGGTTTCATGGCCCTAATGTTAATTATCTGTTAACTGTGTCAACATGTAAGCTATTGACAGAACGGTTATAACAGTAGGCATTACTGTACAATTAATACTAATAAATATAACAGGGCAACTTTTAAGCTGTACAAGATAACCGAACTGAAAATGTTAACTTCAAAGCTCTAAGCTCTAAAAACCGGGTGACATCTTTATGGCTACTAACAGGAGACATATTTGTAGTTGTTAACACAAGCGTCTTCACGGCTGGAAATAAATACGATATTCAGTAAACATAATACAAATAACAAAGAAGAGTGTCACATGAAAGGGGGGGGGGGGGGGGGGGGGGGGGGGCTATTGCGTCAGAAAGATAATAACTGTTCAACAAAATATGACATTCTTGATGCTGGCTTTACAGTCTTGCATACCTGTTAAGCGTAACAGAATAACATACTTAAGCTGTTAAATGTAATATAAAAGAACGATTTGTACCTGTAAAGCCCAATAGATAAACACCTCAGTTGCTTACTATTACGTGATGGTATCGTAACAGCTTTTTAACACTATAATCATAGTTTTGGATGTAACAAATGTCAATCACAGTGCGATTTAGCGTGATATCAGATCATCCTTACAGCTGTTATGCATTTGTTCTTCCTAAAAACATATAATCTGTTAAATATAACAGAAGTTCGTTATTACTGTTAAAATTAACAGTAGGCCATACTTTGGCTTCGCCCAAATTATAACATTCATAAGTTTGTATCGGCCTATGTAACCCAAGAGTAGATAAATTAATCTAAAGCTATTAAAATTTTCGAAAATTGAGCATAGAATTTAATACATTTAATTAAAATTCAAAAAGAAAACTAAGTAACAGCGCGCCATAGCAGCTTAAAATTTAAGCATTCGATTAAATTCAACTTCCAGCATAAAATTAAATTTTTTAGAATTTAAAACAATATCAATTTGAATAATGTATCACATATCGAAGAGAATTTATTATATATTTATAGAAAAAACCATTAACTCGTATAAAACCAGCTCAAAAGGAAAACTGAAGCTTTTAATATAGTATTACCACAAAGGTAAAGCTAGCGTAAGGTATAAGACTAAACCGCGCCCATTTGTAGAATGGGTGTAAAGAGTTTATAGGCCTTTTTGATGTACTCGATAGCGGAATACATTTCGCCAAAATACGTGTTGACTCTAGCTTTGCACTCTTCCTGGTCCACAGCGCCTGATCCGTCGCTTTTGCTGCTCAGCAAAGCCGCATAGCGTTGGCTTAGACCCTGGAGATGTCCATTGAATTGCTTGCACAGATGCACAATGCCGTCCACCTCGTTGGCGGTGCTGTGGTGCGACTTTACCAGCATCAGCTCAGCGATTTTGTGCAGCTTGCACATTTCCAGGGCGCAGGCTTCACTGAGCGCGTTGATGCTCTTCGCATAGGCCTGTTCCAGATCTGCCGAGGTGGCCTCCTCGGAGCTCAGCCAGCTGAGAGACTGTGCCCAATGACTGCAAGGTGGGAGTGTGTTAATAAAAATTACATGTGATGATGGGTGGAAAATTGAGATTCGGGTGAGTCTGACTAATAAAGCAGCCTTAATTCCGATTGATCCTGCTCACCTGGCCACATCATCAAATTGAATGCCCAGCTCCGCATCGGTAATGGTGGCCAGCAAACGATCGTTGAGCTCTGAACCTGTGTAGTCGCCCTCGCTGTTGGATTCCACATCCTCCAGCTCCAGCAGCTCCTGAACCTCGCCAATGGTTTCCTGCATGCGCAAATATCATATGAATATTATTATTATTGAAATTAGTTATGTTTATTTGCCTGCAGTTCACTTAGCGCATGTCCGCTGACCGCGTCCAGCAGCGTGTCCAGCTTGAGACGCGACTCCTTGGACAGTATTTCCAGCGCTTCGTAGTGCACCAGGCCGCAGTAGTTCTCGAAAAGCACGTCGAAGCGCAGTTGCGCCTTTTGTTTCTCGAGCTGCAGCTGTTGCAGCGATTCCTCCATTTGATCCGCATCCTTTTTGGCTTCGAGCAGCACAGCGCTCAGGTTAGGCTTGTTCGCATCGAGTCCCAGTAATTTGCGTTTGTTCATTAATTTGGGATCGTTTTCCTGCAGTATGTTCATGGTCTTCTTGCCAATTCCCTCTAGCGTATCCAGGCCCGTGTTGAGCACCTTGGAGCCCAGCGTTGTGACAATGCCCAGATTAAATGCTGGGGCGCCGCCAGCTTCGGGCTTTTCTATAGCTGCTGCAGCTTCTGTTGTCGTCTGTTGCTCTGTGCCTGTGGGCCTGGCCACCCCCTCGGCTGCATTGATTCGCGCCAGCTCCTCGGGATCGGGCACGCCTATTATCTGATTTAGTCCTTGATTCACCTGGGTTGTTATGTTGCCCAGACCCTCCGTGGCGGTGCTCAGCACAGAGCTCAACTTGCCGCCCCATAAGCCCCAGCCAGAGGAGGAGGCTGACGCAGGCGGAGCTGCTGGTGACCCTACTGAAGCTTTGCCCAAAGGGTTTGATTGCTCTTCTGCAGCTTTGTTGTTTTGCGGCTGCAGCTCCTTTTCAACGTGCACAAACTTGTCATCATCATCGTCGCCATCGCCCCAATCGTCCCAGTTGTCGTCCTCATCGCTTTGATTCCAATCATTTGAGTTCTCATCCTCTTTATTTGGTTTATTTGCCATTATTCCGTGCGTTTACCACGTAGTTTCATGAATCTGACAATTATCGATAGCTGGCAACCTATCGATAATTTAATACCACTCTTACATGTGTGCCTAAAAAACGAACCTGTTAGTTAGCAGAGGTATTTTCAGTGTAACTTTGGCGCGAACTTTTTGTAATTTATAATGTGTTTATTATGTTATCTAAAGCTAAATAAAGCTAACTCTAACTTTAAAAATATAATGGCACTGACTCGTTCATGGCTCACGTATGTACAATGGTTCGTGCTATTGTACGAATTTAACGATATAGGTGGATCTCTAATTTGCAGATTTAAATACCACTGTTAGTTAACAGTGAAGCTGTCACTTTAACATTGGCGCGAATAACTCATGTGATAATAATTGTGTTTTATAAAAACTGTGTTTAAATTTGTGTAAACCAACTACTGCTTATCATAGACTATCATTAATAATATAAAGAACATAAAAACAATAAAAGAATAAAAACACTCACTAATACATGTGATTTTTTTCTTGCTCATTTTGTTCAGTTCCCAGGTAACACATAATTTGAGTGCGTATTCAGCACGTGGTTTCATTACCAAAATGTCGAAAGGAGTATGTATAAAGAAAGGTAAGTGTAAAAAGAAAACTGACCAAACCCGCAGTGCCCACAGACATAAAGCCTCAAATTGTGTAGTCAGCCTATAGCAACAACAACAATAACAGCAGGTAACTGTTGCTCTTATTAGAAATACATAAATTATTGGAGCACCTTGTGTCACCTGTGTGCGTTGGAATGCCCCACTGGAGTTGCCACATTCATGTCTTGGCATTCACGCACACGCACATACACGCACGCAAACTATTTTCTGCTCAATGCATACAAATTGAATTGATATTAGTTTGTAAAATATTTAGGCATTAAAATAGCAAACAGATGTGTGTGTGTTTGTGGCTGTGTGTGCGTGTGTTGCTGCTTGCATTGGTATTGTGCTGTGCTGTCCCAGTTACCTTTGGTGACTCTTTCTGTAAAACTGTTTTCATGCGAATCTTTAATTTTGCCTGTGTGCAAGTGCGAAAGAGATGGCCGATATATTCATATTTATTTGTACTGCAAAAGAATGCAAACATGTTCTTTGCAGTTTTGTTTTGTTGTGTGGTTTTTCATTAGATACAGAGTGGTTTGGCAATATTATGTACACAGTTGGGCAGATTTTAAGAGAAATTGTAAACTAAAAACATGGATGAACGTAAGTACTGTGAACGCTTACAGAAAAGTCAGATTACACGAAAACATACATAGAAGAAAAAAAAAATACTAACAAACGTATAAATACATTACCTAATTTTAACATATTGCCAAGTATAATTCTGGTGAATTAAAATGAATGAATCTTTTTAAGCAACATTTTAAATTGTTGGTTGTTAGCTAAAGCTTAGTGATCGTAGACTTTTTGTTGGAAAATTTGTCGGGAAAAGTTTTCGTATGAAAAATATGATTTACATCAAATCAAAAAAGTATTCACATAAGGGAGACTACTAAATTGAAGAGTAATGTAATGTGTGTCCAAGGCATCTGCCTGTATTAATGTCTGTTAACAGAAATGTTAAGCACTGCAGATACACATGTTACAACGTTTTAACAGAATTCTAAGCTCTCTTCGATCTGTAAGTTCTCTTAAACTTAACTGTTGTTGCTCTTGATTTTGCACTTGCAATTGATCTAAATGTTGATTGTGTGCGAGTTGACTAAGTTTTAAAATTAAGAGTAAATACAAGGAAATTGTGCTCTTAATTGTTTATAGCCACTTCAAAGCGAATACCCTTCGATTGCTCTTAAGCCCACATAAAAACAATGCTCGTTCAAATTTTAACTGTGTCTGCACAGTGTGCCACATATCTAATTGTGCTCATAAATTAGAAACGAACACAAACAAAATTCGGTTGTCAGCTAAAAGTTTGCTCGGTGCTAACCAGCATATAAATTTGACAGGAACGCAAAATTAACAAACCAAGACAATTTACCTGGCACACACAAACGCACGCACACCTTGCCATAAGCGAAGAATTTTCATAAACTTGCTGCATACTTTTTGGCAAGACACACACACACACACACATATGTATATATGGAAGGAGGGAGCGCGACAACCACACGCTATATTTCGTCACGGAGGCTGCCATAAAATGCGCACAACCAAAATTTATCATCGAGACTAGAAAATAAAAGCAACAAAGCGCAACTAGTCGCACATTTGTTGTTGCCTGCTTTTAACATCCGTTTTTCTTCTCCCTTTCCCTCCCTTTCCGTTTCCTTGTGCCGTGTGATTAATTTTTTAATTAAAAATTGTAAGCATAGCATCGAGTGGCAGCTTCAACGTTGCAAAAACCTTTGCATTTTTGCGTCTACCTCGACCGCTAATATGTGGGCGACCGAGAAAAAAATACATTGAACACAAAAAATCACTTGTATTTTTATTAAGTATACACCCTGTATAATATTCTCCTGCGTGAGTATGTGCAGGTATGTGGTTACCTTGGCATTCAATGCCAGCGATTTTTGGCAACGTCAATTTCAGGCGCTTGACGCAATTTCCTTATATGCAAATTTATCTACAAGTGGCAATTGCTGGAGCGATACAGAATGAGAGAGAGAGAGAGAGGGAGAGAGAGATACACAGAGAGCAAGAGATGCACATAGAGGGCGAGAGCGAGATAGAATGAGTGCGAAAATAATTGCATGTTCGATGCAAGTTGCAAAAATGAAATGTAATATTATCAGCATTCAGGCAATATTATCACTACCATTACCAATGCTCATTTCTGGATAAGTTTAGTTGCCTGACATTTTAACACTCACACACACGCATATCATGTATCATAGGGCACAGCTCCATTAAAAGCACACTTAACAGAAGTAAATTAGGAAAATCTATTGCAGATATTTATTTAATGTTTTAAGTAAAGCGGCAGCTCATTTAGCTGACTCGGCTGCTTAATTGAAAATCGAATTAACGGTCTGTTATGGGCTGTTATCGATTACCATTCTTTTAATCATCTTATTTAATGCTACAATTTATCTCTATATATAAAACTGTTTGTCCTGACTGACTGACTGACTGATTGATTGCTGAAGCTGAAGTTACCTTATGTGATGAAGGTGCACGTTAAGACGGGGTTTCTGGAAATTGCGCCCGCAAGTATGGAAAAATCGCGAGAAACGTTTGTATGAAACTTTTTTGTTTACCATCCGATCGGCCTCAAACTCAACTTCAAAGTTCTTTGTTCAAATTCATTTGAGGGGTGTTTCACACTTTTCCAAAAATGTATTCCTCCTTGGTGGAAATGGAGGTCAAAGATTTTGTGGATGACGTTTCGCCCCCAAATTCATTTTCAAGGATCTATATGAAAAAGTATTTGAAACGTGCTTCACATTTTCAAATCCTTGCTCAAATTGATTTGAGGGTTGTTTCGCACTTTTTGGAAAATCCATCCCTCCTTGGTGAAAATGGGGGTCAAAGATTTGGCGGGGGACGATTCGCGCTTAAATGCATTTCTAAGTATCCATAAGAAAAATCATGTTAGACCAGTTTCACATTTTTCGCAGGATTAAAGCATCCTGGTTAAAAAGTGCAATTCAATTCAATTTTTTTCCGATTTGCTTCAAAATTATTTTCAAAGCTTTTTGAGAACACTTATTTTATACGTGCCACGGGCAAGGGCGGGCTATATCCGCTAGTCGTATATATTATAGTAATATATGTATTTGTATATAATATATGTCCTGTTAATTGTAACGATTGTGCTCATAAACATTGTGATTTATAAATCGTTATCGATAACCTTTTCACTATCGATAAAAAGGGTTTTATAATTGTCTTGCGTGGATACCAATAACACCATATAAAACTTCTCTTCATTTGATCGATATTTAATTAAATTATCGAAATTATTTTGGGGAACATTCGTTAAAGTAAGCAGTAAATATTGTAAGGACTCTGGAATCATAAGGGCGCATTTTATTGTTCCCAGTCAACAATTCAATGTGGGTGTTTCTTGAATTGATTCCCCCGGTTATTCACAATCAAAATTGTTTTAACTGTGCACACAAATAGACGAGAAGACCGCAGCCGACATTTAGGGGGTCAAGGGCGACTAAAAGTAGCATATACAACACACAGAATCCTTCACACACACACACACAGACACACAACACACAGAATCCTTCACACACACACATCCGCATGCCCACGCTCAGTTTTAGACAAAGATCCTAGGGAGGGTCTAAATATGGGTGTGTGTTTTTTACATGCAAAGGACATCTTTGTCATTTTTACCCACAAGCAACTAATAAAGGAGCTCATCATTGTTGTTGCATATTGCCTGCCTGTTTGTTGTACATTGTTATTGATACCTCAGACTTCCTTTAAACACACATACGTACACACACACACACGCACACACACTGTGAGAGACAGAAGGGAACCCTTTTTGGGGCAATTCCCGAAAGTCTTCAGACTGGCTTTTACTTCCTTTTTGCGTAGCGCCCTGCTTGCTTTTGTGCTGATGGCAATAAAGCATACTTCCAGCTGTTTATTAACATGTTTCTTTGTGAATATATGCACACACATATATCTTATATAAATAAACACACACACACACAAACACGCAGCCGCAAGTCTAACTGACGTTGATAGGCAAGTGACGGCATTTCTGTGTGTCTGTGCTTACAAGTTTCGTCTTACAAGTGAAAAATTCCTTTAGGCCAAAGTGTGCATTAAGAAGATTGTTTTACTATTGTTGTGACGCACAGCACAGGCATCCCACACACACACACACACACACACACACAACAGTGAAAAATACCTTAACTACATGACATCACATTGGCAGACAAGAAGACAGCTTCGTCGCCTGCAGCTCTGTTTGTTTCCTTCTCTTATGCCACTCTCTCGCTCTATCTTTACTTCCCTTCTCTATCTTTCTCCCATACACTATTACTCTCTCTGCCTCTCTTTCTATCTCACACGCTGTC